TAGTGGTGGATGAATGGATGGAGAGATGGATAGAGATATAGATGAATCGATAGATATAGGTGATAGACAGACCGATAGACAGACAGACAGATTTCCTAGTAAACTAGAGGAGGAGAAGGCGAAGGAAGTCAACTGGGGTCCATCATTCCAAAAAGGCTACCAGTATTAAAATGGATCGAACAACAATGCAGGATCACCTAAAGCTGAGGTGCCCAACCTTGGCCGCTTGAAGACCGGTGGACTTGAAGACCGGTGGACTTCAGCTCCCAGAATTCCCCAGCCAGCCATGGCTTGATGTCCAGAGGTCTTCAAGTTGCCACAGTTGGAGACTCCAGACCGACAGGACATCCATGGTTGCTTTTCTGGCTAAAGACCACCTTCTCTCTGGACAGGCGTTTTTCCAACGGACCAGTCCGAATATTCTAACCTGAAGGGGGCCTTGGAGAAACTGACCCTCAATGACTCCAGTGTCACCGTTCAGCGTGACAACAGCCTGGCTTTGGGGGCCGGGTGGAGGTGAGTTACCCCTGCATCCGTTGAGAGAGGTAGTCCTCGACTTACAACAGCTCTGTTCTGATGTGATGACCTGGGGCGTGACACAAAAATAACAAAAGTCACAAAAGTAGAATAAATTCCCTTTAATGCCTCCAACTTGGGCCCCAAAGTCCAATAATCCTCGGCTGGAGATCAAACTCTTCCAAAACCAGTCTACGAAGGGAAGAAATGCAGTCCGAACCCAAAGTAAAGATAATTAGAAATTTTAAAAAACCTACACAAACCACACTGAAGTAATTAACACGGCAGGCCAGGATGATAAATTGCAGACTTCCAACAGATAATGCAGCAACCACAGTTGGGAGGACGCCAAAACCCAGATTAGCCTCGACCAAGATAATGCACACTTTGCTTCCAGCAAAGAGCTGTGTGCAGACGCCCCTATTATATCCTGTTCTCCCAGCTGCAATTAATGAAAGGGGATCAGGGCCTTTTCCTCTCCTGTAAGCCACGTTGCTCCCTTCTCCATTCCTCCCTGCATGCCCTAGGATGAAGAGGGGATGGGCTTGGGTCTTCCTCTGAATGTCCAGCCGGACTGTGCCCTTCCCCCGTTTCTTTCATAGCCACTGGAGCCACACTCCCACTCCCTGTCAGCTGCTCAATCTCCCCCTCAGAATCGGACTCCAACAAGGGAATGACCTCTGACCTCGGCTTCACAAAAATCATGAAGCAGACTCTTCACTCCACCAAAACCCTTATTAGACTGATGTGAATTCCTATCATTCACATCCAGCAAAGGCACGGGTATTGATCTAGTAGCTTATAGCTTTCGGTGGAATTACTGAAATGGAGTGTAATTTTCCTTGTTTGTATTTTATAACTGGTAGACGACCATACCAGTGAAATGCAAAATTTGGAACACGTTTTCTTTCCTTTGGCTTGGAAATTGAAGGTATTTAATTTGGCAAATTGCAGATTGGTATCTTTAAAAATGTCGATTGAAATTTTTAATTTACAGGTTGGGATTCCTTGGCCTTTTACATATGGAAGTTTTTAATCAGCGCTTGGAACAAGAACACAACACCTCGGTCATTTTGACAGCTCCCACCGTTCCATACAAGGCGATCCTTTCTTCCCCAAAATTGATAAAGGTGATGATTTTCAAAAAGAAAGTCTCAAATCATCATCAGTGTGTAAGGATAAAGTGAGCGTAATTCTGAACAGTTTCCATAATTTAGTTGAATTCTCCAGGTCTTTGATGATGAAGCTCTCAAATAAGATATTTTCCTCTAGAATAAGGGTCTTCAAACTTGGCAAGTTTAAGACTTGTGGACTTTAACTCCCAGAATTCCTGAGCTAACATGACTGGAGGAGGAATTCTGGGAGTTGAAGTCCACAAGTCTTAAAAGCTGTCAAATTTGAAACTCTAGAATATATATATTTATCATATGGCACATCGACATCACATTTTGATTTTAAAAAAGAGATCAAAATCTAAAATAGGAAATAGGAAATGTAAAACGTTATAAAGGAATATCTAGATCTAAACACCACTCAGGCATCACAAAATCTCCAGAACTGTAAAGCCTACAAACTTGAAATTTGGCCCGTAGGTTCCTCTTGGCTTCTAGGGGCTCACTAAGAAAGGATTTTTCCAAATGACCATCAGAGCATTTAGAGTATTTCCTATATTATTATTATTATTATTATTATTAACACACTCTGATGCTAAGGAGTTCTACTCCCGCTCCCCACCTGAAAAAAAAATCTTCCAAAGGCAAAACACAAGCAGAGGAGAGGAGTTTCAGTTTTAGTTATCACAGCACCAAGCAGCTTTAGTACAGAACGGTTGAACTAAGCCACGCCCAGGCTCCTTGCTGCCTCTTTCTTGCTCACACAGCAAATACTGTTTCAGTTTCCAAACAGCCCTCAACTCTCTCACACACTGACAAGATGCTAGCCAGATGCATACCGATGGATGCTGGTAGGCAGAGGCAGATTTCCCCCCCCCCCCCCCTTATTTTCCTCCCCAAAAACTAAGCCCTGATCACATAGTTTCATAGCAAAGCACAAAGTATCGAGCTAGTTATAGTTTATTATTATTTTTTGCTTCATTTGTCACAGCCAGGAAATCAGCAAAGTCTCCATTATAGGCTCTAATTTTGGCAATCTATATGTTGAATCATTTGTCTTTTGATCCTGCTGCCACAATTCAGTATAATGGAGTTTTGCCAAGGCCAGAGTGGATTTGGTTTAGTGTCCATATTGCACAGAGCTAGTGTTAACTAAAAAAAAAATACTTTGGTCTTTTTAACTGCCAGCAGAAAGGGAGTGGAGAAAAACAGTGCATTCTTCAAATGCCTTAGATAATCACCCTGGCAGCCCAAAGTTGTCAGCGCTCAGAAATATTACTGGAGAGCATGATTGATGACTCTTGGCTATGGATGTGTCCCATTGGAGAATATACATCCAGGGGGTGGGGGGAAGACCAGGGTCAAGGGGGAAATGAATGATGTACTTTAGTGTCGGCTGCACCCAGGTAACACCAACATGGCCACTTCTAATAAATCAATTTTATTTTCTCTGAGAGATGCGGCTAGAGACTTATGATTTGAACGGGGTAGATTTGTAGGAGTCCTGACAGCTAGTCAAATCCAGGTGTTGTTGTTTCAAAATGCAAGAAAATGCAAAATCTCTAGAAAATGATTTGGGATTGTTTGGGAAATATCCGGAAATCTAGGTAGTTTTAGCATCCTGGTTTGTTTCCCTTTGCTATTGGCCCTTGGGGCAGAATTCATCCGGAGAACGAGCTTAAAATAATAGTCCAATTTAAGCACAAATTGATTTTGGACAACGCTTGCGTGAATTCCTCCTGAGCCCTTGATCCTTCCAATTATACTTTAGCCGAGGCTTCAAGTAGCATTTAATTACAATAGTAAGTCATACCTGCTCTGCATTGGGTGAGAAGAAGAATAACCATCAATCAATTAAGCAATATGACACAAATGTAGGATGAGCCACTGTTGCAGACAGAATTATGACATAACTCTAAATATTTACTTCAGATAGCAAACTATGAATGGGGCTGAGTGTTTCCTGGCCAGATGCCTTTCCTGTCACCAGTGTGGAGTTTTGTTCAACAGATACATTCTCATTGTACCCAGAGAGAGAAATATCCACCTCTACCTAGGATTGAACTCACAGCCTCCTGATTGTGAGGCGACAGCTCCACCACTAGGCCACCGCGCCACTCTAGGTTTCCCTAGTTTATTTGTTTAAAAATTATACGTCCTCCGTTTCCACTTCAGGTTGTATGGATGGCTTGCAATTATTTGGACAGGTAGACCTCAACTTAGAACAGTTCGTTTAGTGACCGAAATTACGCCACTGAAAAAAAAGTTTTTCAGAGTTACGACCTTAGCAGTTCATATTTAGGGCTCGCATTGATTACGAGGTTGCAGTCTCCCAGGGTCACGTGATCAGAATTCGGCTGCTTGGCAACTGACTCGTATTTATGACGGTTGCAGCGTCCCGTGATGGGGAAGCCGGATTCACTTAACAATCAGGTTCGTAACTTATCACCTGCAGGGATTCGCTTCTGTCCGTGAGAACAGCTGTCTTGCTTTGCAAACAGAATATTTTGGGCCCCGTTGTGGGCGTAAACTGAGGACAACCCGTGTATATGCTTTTTTTAAAAAAATAATAATTTAAAGAGTACTATTTTTTTTCTTTTATTAGAAAAGCTTTAAAAATACCCTCTTTTCCTCTTCTTTTTTCCTATTTTTCAGGAATATCGGAAAGAGGAAATCATGATCGTGAATCCCGCAGAGTTTCCTGATCATTCCATGGTGAAAGAATACTTGGAGCCGATAGTTTTAGGCACTATAGTGACCCCTAAAGAATATATTGGAGAAATATTAGCTCTTTGCCAGGTTGGTACATAAGGTGGAGAAGGTTATGGCCAGAGATGGTATTCAGCCGGTTCGGACCAGTTCTGATGTACTGATAGCGAAATTTTGGCCAGTTCACAGAACCAGCAAATACCACCTCTGGCTGGCCCCACCTCTGCTCTTTCCCATCTTTCATTCCATTGATTTTTAGCTCAGCTGATTCACATGGCAGAGCGGATTGCCACGCCTCAACTTGAGCTAAAAAATAGCTCAACTCACGAGAGCTATCTTTGAGTGCTGCACGAGGGCGATCTTTGAGTACTGCGCGGGTCCTTTATTCCGTTGATTTTTACCTCAGTTGATTCGCACGGCAGAGCGGATTGCCACGCCTCAACTTGAGCTAAAAAATAGCTCAACTCACAAGAGCTGTCTTTGAATGCTACACGAGGACGATCTTTGAGTACTGCGCGGGTCCTTTATTCCGTTGATTTTTACCTCAGTTGATTCGCGTGGCAGAGCGGATTGCTGCACCTCAGCTGAGCTAAAAAACAGCTCAACTCACAAGAGCTGTCTTTGAATGCTATGTGAAGGTGATCTCTGAGTGCTGCGCGCATCCTTTATTCCCTTGATTTTTACCTCAGTTGATTCGCGCAGCAGAGCGGATTGCCACGCCTCAGTTGAGCTAAAAAACTCAGGGATCTTTGAGTACTACACAAGGGTGATCTTTTGAGTGCTGAGAAGCCCGCAGAACCGGTAGCGCACAATTTGGAATCCCACCACTGGTTGTGGCATAGTGGGTGTAATTTCTGATATGTTCTGCGGTTGATTAATCTTTATTGAGCTGACGGGCACGAGGAATTGTAAATATCCGCAGCCATTTGTCTGGCTTTGCTGTAGTAAACCCTGAATTCTAAATCAGTATATCTCAACCAGCAACGCACGCTGTCACTGGCCCAACGCAGGCTGGTAAAAAATTTAAACCTTTAAAACTTATTGTCGAGAAAGGAAAAAAAAAACCACCTTTGGGACAACCTGGATGACTGAGAATCTCCGTAGACCAGAAACCTGACTGCATCATTTGCTATGTTAAATTTCCCAGCTGGTTTTTATTTTTCATTAATTTTATTAATTTTCTACTGTTTGTATTTGTTAGTGCTTAATAAATATCATTGTGTCTGAATATTTAATTTGCTTAATGATACAGATTCTGTTTTTAATCTCCACTCCCTTTTTCCCAACCGCTGGTAAAATAAGTCCCACGTTTGATAATATTCTGTGTCTTCTTTCTGTTCAGTTTTCAATGTAAGCCAGCTGGTTTTTATTTGTTACATCTCCCCAACATTGAGCCAAAAGTTTTTTATCTCAGATGTTCATCTCAGACTGTTATGTGTTTTTTTCAGACTCGAAGAGCGGTTCAGAAGGACATGGTGTACATGGATGAACACAGAGTCATGATGATTTATCTCTTCCCGCTGAATGAAATCGTGGTGGATTTCTTTGATGCGCTAAAATCCTTGTCATCTGGTTATGCCAGGTAAATTAACTTAGTTCTTATGGTTTTGTTGTGCCCTGTCAGTGGCCAGTGGAGCTGGTGGCAGATTCAGACAGTGAGGAGGTTGGAGAGGAACATGGGCCATTCCTGGAGTCTGACGAGGGCTCTGCGTCAGAGGCAGAGATGGGGCCAGGGCCGTCTGACAGTTATCAGCTGTCTTCAGAGTTGGAGATCAGTGGGGAAGAAGAACAGCTGGAGCATGTTCCCTGTGTGCACATGCGCAGAGCTGCCAGGAGTAGGGAACAGTTAAGGAACGGTCGACTTGGAAGTAAAGCCACAGGTGGACGGTGAATGGTCCCTCCCATAGGGAATAAAGAGGAGCGAAAGGGGAGTGGTGTTTGCAGGAGACAATTAGTTCGTTTAATTGGGGTGAAGATTTGTTTGTGACTCTTTGCCAAGTGTTTTCTGCTACAGCGTGGCGTTTGGAAGCTATTGGCCTGGCAACTGTCCAAGCCTGATAAAGGTCTGTGATTGTAAATCACTCCTGAAAGACTATTGGCCGGCACTTTGCTGGATGTGAATGAGAAGAATTCACATTAGTCTAAATAAAAGGGGTTTTGTTGGGACGAGGAGTCGGCTTCGTGGTTTTGGTGAAGCCGAGGTCAGAACAGGTTTAATGTTGTAATGACGAGGCAGTCGAGTTGTTTGATCATGAACAACTGAATTATGATGATGATCTGATGATCTTTATTGGAGTAGTCTTGCATTTATATACATTTTTAGTTATCCTCCATCATTGGTTAACATTGGTTACTGCTTAACTTTCGTTACTGTTCAGCACAGTAATCCATACAATTAATTATCTCTAGTTAAAGTCTAACATATGTTTACTTCCCCTCTCTAATCCTCCTTTATCCATAGATTAGTGACTTTGTTTGCCTGAGTTGTATTTGCTTGGAAACATTCTTTATCTGAGGTTTGCCATCCGAGATTATTATCTATTAGTTTTTTGAAAATTTGATTTTTTTTTACCTGGGGCTCGAAACACACAGGATATCCAAATCCATTGAAGGCCACAAGGACTTTTGATACGTGTCCATACACATGTATGCATGCACAGGTAGTTCTCGAGTTACAACAGTTGACTTAGTGATGGTTCAAAGTTACATGACTGAAAAAAAAATGACTTATGACCGTTTTTCACAGTTACGACCGTTGAAATTTCTCCCTGGTCACCTGATCAAAATTCAGATACTTGGCAAACGACTCATATTTATGATGGGCGCAATGTCCCACCTGGGGGGGGGGTGTCATACCGTCCCCTTTTACATCCTTCTGACACGCACAATCCACGGGGAAACCCATCACTAAGTGAACTGAATGGCCACTAAGTGAACCGTTGTAAGTAGAGGACTACTTGTGTACATTAGAAATTGTACCTTTCAGAACGCTATTCATATGATGCATCGTTGAATCGGAATAGAGCCGGAAGGGACCCTGTAGGTCTTCTAGTCCAACACACACACACACACACACACACACACACTGCTCATTAGTTGAACTCTCTTCTGTTTTCAGCTTTGACTATGAAGACGCAGGATACCAGCCCGCAGATCTTGTCAAAATGGATATTTTTTTAAATGGAAAATCTGTGGAAGAGCTGATAACTATTGTACCTCGGTAAGTCCATTGTGTGCACATTCATTTTTTAAAAATTCAATCCGTGAATCAGAATTTGGAGATCATCTAGTCCAACCCCTTGCTCAAGCAGGAGACCCTATAACCATTTCAAATCCTAATATCATCTGAATAAACTACCCAAACCACCTATTCATTTTCCATGCGTTTTACCCTGTTTCCCCAAAAAGAAGACCCTGTCTTAAATATATATATTTGCCACCCAAAAAGGCATCAGGTCTTATTTTCGGGGGATGTCAATCCACTGACTAACCTCACTTGTGCACATCGCCCCGAGTCTCCTTTTTGCTGTCAGAGGCCTTCAGGAACTTCTTCTTCTGCGGCCGGCAAGGCTTTCCTGAAGGCCTCTGCAGCCGATAACTGAGCTCTGGATCGATCCTGAGCTTTGTTTTTAGCCACAGAGGCCTTGCCAAAGAAATGGGTCAGCGAGGCAGATGTTGGGGTGTGTGAGACCTGGCTACAACTATCCAAAGGTAAGTAGTAGGGCAGCCCCACCCCCCCATCCCCACCCTAGCTTAATTTTTACTCATCCACTCTGGAGTGGGCGGGATCTTAATTAGGGCTTATTTTGGGGAAGGGCTTATATTGGGCGCACGTGTAAAAATCAAGCTAGGACTTACTTTCGGGGTTGGTCGTATTTTCAGGGAAACGGTATTCCTGGAGGTAAAAAAAACACCTAGACATCCTTGCAATTGAAAATTTAAATTGTTACACACATAACCTGTGAAGTATGAATGATAAGTAACGTAACAAGAATGCTGTGAAATTTATTTGGATTGGAGAAATTTTAATTATTTTAAGGGCGATTTGCTGGATTTGTTTATAACCTACAACTGTCTTTCTTTACATTCTCGGTTTTTTGATACACAGACATTGTCTGTCTCACAGTTTCAATCTTTCTCTGGGTCCAATTGTGTTGATTTAGCCTTCTCCAAGCTCAAATATAGGGATGCGGTGGCTCAGGGGCTAAGATGCTGAGCTTGTCAATCAGAAAAGTCAGCAGTTCAGCGGTTCGAATCCCTAGCACTGCATAATGGAGTGAGCTCCCGTTACTCATCCCAGCTTCTGCCAACCTAGCAGTTCCAAAGCATGTAAAAAATGCAAGTAGAAAAATAGGCACCACCTTTGGTGGGAAGGTAATAGCGTTCCGTGCGCCTTCGGCGTTGAGTCATGCCAGCCACGTGACCACGGAGATGTCTTCGGACAGCGCTGGCTCTTCTTCGGCTGTGTAACGGAGATGAGCACTGCCCTCTAGAGCCAGAAACGACTAGTACGTATGTGCAAGGAGCAGAACCTTTACCTTTAAGCTCAAACGGAAAATATCATATGTTTTTTAAATCCGTATTGGGAAGCTTACCATTTGAATACAGGCAGTCCTCAACTTACAACACTTCGTTTAGTGACCGAAGTTAACGACAGCACTGGAAAATGTGACTTACAACCGTTTTTCACACTTACAATCATTGCAGCATCCCTCCAAATCAAAATTCAGATGTTTGGCGACAGACTCATATTTATGACAGTTGCCTTTTGCAACCTTCTGACACGCAAAATCCATGGGGAATCCAGATTCACTAACTGAACAAATGCATTGTTTCCCTTTAAGAACTCTGGCAAGAAAAGTCATGAAAAAGGGGCAAAACTCGCCTAACAGGTTTCTCCCTTAACGACACACATTTGGGGCTCAATTGGGGTCGTAAGTTGAGGACTACCTGCCATCGCTTCCTCCCACCTTCCAGGGTCTGTGGGTAGGGATGAGCGTAGTAAAGTCTGGCAAGATTCTTGTCTATTGTGCGTATAAGCAAATCAAAGAACTGAATCCTGGCGGGAAGCTTTTTTTTAACATGGTTCTTGGGCTTAGGACCTTTATCACCCCAATCCTGATGTCCACTGTTGATGTCCTTTGGAATAAGACCCAGGACTGACCCATTCTTACTTCTTTTCCAGAGAGAAAGCCTACTCTGTTGGTAAATCTATGTGCGAGCGATTAAGAGACCTCATTCCAAGGCAAATGTTTGAAATAGCTATCCAGGCAGGTCTCGGCAACAAAATCATTGCAAGAGAAACGTAAGTCGTTATGTTTAACTTGGTTTTAAAAAGATAACCTTTTCCTCTTCCTCCTCTTCCCCTCCTCCTTCTCCTCCTCCTCCTTCCTCTTCCTCCCCTCCCCTTCTTTTCTTCTCATCCTCTCCTACTTCTTTTACTTCTTCTCCTCCTATCTCTTCCTCCTCCCCTCCACCCCTCCTCCTCCTTCTTCCTCCCCTTCTTTCCTTCTCCTCCTCCGCTGCCTCCTTCTCTTCTTCTCCTCCTCCTCCGTTTCAGTTAATTATACAAGACAATAAGCTGTAACAGCCTTGTTGTGGATTAGCAAGGGTTTTCCCTTGACTTACAACAGCTTGCTTAGTGACCATTCAAAGTTACAACAGCACTGAAGAAAAGTGACTCATGGCCGTTTTTCACACTTACAACCGTTGGCAGCATCCCGTGGTCAATGTGATTTTACGCTCGAATGCTTAACAACTAACTCACACTTGCAATGGCTTGCAGCATCCCGGGGTGGAGGGGGTCGCACGAACCCCCTTTTGCAACCTTCTGACAAGCGAAGTCCAAGGGTGAAGCCAGATTTGCCTAACAGATGTGTTACTCATTTAACAACTGCAGTGATTCACTTAACAAAGGCGACAAGAAAACATCGTAAAATGGAGCGAAACTCAGTTAACACATTTCTCCCTGGGTGTTGTGGTTCGCCAGCAGCCGGTGCAGACGGCAGCAGAATCGGACAGCGGGGAAGAATGGGGACCAGTCAGGGAGTTTGGGGAGGACTCGGACGAGGGTTCTGCGGTCTGATGCAGAGATGGGGCCAGGATCATCTGGGAGTGGGGTGCTGCCTGCGGAGCCTCCAGAGTCTGGCAGCAGCGAGGCAGAGGAACGAGGGGAGCCTGTTCCCAGTGCCCGTATGCGCAGAGCTGCTAGAAGGCAAGAGCAGCTAAGACAAAAGGGGCAACTCAGGAGTAAGGCTGGGAGGTGATTGCCCCTCCCATCAGGGATAAAAGTCAGGCCAAGATGACGAAACCTTTGCGGGAAGCAAAGTAGATCGGTTCCGAGTCATCCTTGAAGCTCGTTGTACTTTGGTTGTTGTTTTTTTGTACTTCGTTTGGTTTCTTTTCTAGTTCATTGGATGCTTCTGTTTTTGGCAGCACTCCACAGAACTGAAAGTGGGTGCTTATCTCAGGGGACTGTTTGAGATTAATTCCGGCTGGGAATGAAAATAATTCCCAGCGTTGCAATAAAATAGGTTTTGTTTTTAAAACAAGTTTGTGAATAATTACGGTTTACGAAGCCTGGGTCAGAATACTGGGCATCATGAATTTTGGGTTTGATTTTGGGCTACCAGTATAATCCTGATTTCTAAAGTGGGTGTCTCAGATTGGGAATTAATTAATTAAATTGGGCCTTTAAGGAAATGTGTCCCATCAAGAAGTAGGTGGAGTATATAGTTAGACCTCAACTTACAACAGTTCATTTAGTGACTGATTATATTATGTATACTATGTCCAATTATATGAGGGGCGCAAGAGTCTAGAGTCAACTCACAAGAGCTGAGAGTTCAATCCTAGGTAGCAGCAGATATTTCTCTCTCTGGGCATGTTGAGTATATATCCACTGAGTATAACTCCGTATTGGCGACAAGAAAGGCATCCGGCCAGGAAACGCTCAGCTCCATTCAGTCGCCCCAATTCTAACCCATTGAAAGGAAAAAAATTCCAATTATATTGTATTCCAGTAGCATGAAAATGGAAACTTTAAATAAACTAGAAAACAAGAGTAGAAGAAAGATTAATTTTTAAATTAAGTAGCTGCTCAGTGCCAAAGAGCCTTATCCATTTGATTTAAGACATTCCTATTGCAAAGGCAGCATATAGAGAGGTTTAAAAGGATGGAATTAGCGATTATTCGTTGTTTCAGAACTTCAAATGATGGAATATTTTGTATTATCCTTTTAAAATGCAACTCGGTTCACTTTATTTTCCAGGGTGAAAGCTCTTAGGAAAGATGTTCTGGCAAAATGTGTGAGTATCTTTTTTTTTTTTTTTCCATTTTCATTTTCTTGAGTTTAGTATGTCCTTTTTTCAAAAAAAATCTTTTTAATATAAATTAGTCACTTTTTTCCCCCCTAAGTAAGATTTTTATCCACTTCATTTAAAGGTTGAACCTCAGGTTAAATTCACCTGGAGTGCTTGATAGAATTCTCATGGTTTTTAACTTACTTTTTATTATTTAGGATAAGAGCAATGCTGGGTGGGAAGGATCAACATTGACTGGTATCTCGGAGCTTGGTCGTTTTCTTGCAGACATTTCATTACCCAACTAGGTAACATCATCATTGTCAGAAGGGAGTGAGGTGTGTGGAGAAGAGGAAAGGATTATGGAGTCCTTGGTGCTCTCTCAGCGGGGTGATTTTCTTGAAGACGTTTCACGACCCAAACTAGGTAACATCATCAGTGCTAGAACGGAGTGGGGTTTCCTTCTGGTGTTCTCTTCTAGCACTGATGATGTTACCTAGTTGGGTCATGAAATGTCTACAAGAAAACAACCAAATTCAGAGACCACCAAAGACCCCACAATTGTTGTCGTCGTCCTCCTCCTCTCTGCAAACCCCACTCCCTTCTATCACTGATGATGTTCCCTAGTTGGGTCACGAAACATCTGCAAAAAAAGCACCAAGGACCCTTCCTTTCAGCCCTGAGCTACAAATATTTTCCTTTATCGGTATTAACCCAGAAACATTTTTTGTTTTGTTTTGTTAAAACAGTACGGAGGAGACATTACAAGGAAAATGAAGCTTTTGAAGAGGCAAGCTGAAGGGAAGAAGAAGATGAGGAGAATTGGGAACGTAGAGGTGCCAAAGGACGCTTTTATCAAAGTTCTCAAGAAGCAGCTTGACAGATAGCTTCCAGCTGTTTGCAGAGTCCAGCTGGTGAGAACTGTTGAGCCAGCAGTTTGCAAACCGGGTATCACCCTGAACTGGATCTCATCTATTCGTGTACGAATTTGACACCACGTCTAATGGGAGCTGTTCAATAAAGCAGCAAAACTAAAAATCTAAAATATAGTTTAGCATCCGAATTTAGTGACCTAGGCTTCCCAAAATCATGAAGCCGACTCCTCATCCCAATAAAACCCCTTTACCCCTTTTATTTAGGTTAAAGGGAATTCCTCTCCAGCAAAGTCCCGGCAAACAGTCTTCCATGAGATTTCACAACTGCAGACCTTTATCAGTTTTGGAGCTGCCAGGCCGATAGCTTCCAAACGCCACGCTCTAGCGGCAATTACTTGGCAAGAAGTCAGGAACAGATCTTTACCTTAATGAATTGAACTAATTGTCTCCTGCAAACTCCACTCCCCTTTCGCTCCTCTTTATTCCCTCTGGGAGGGGTCATTCACCATCCACCTGTGCCTTTATTCCCGAGTCAACCCTTGTTCCTTAACTGTTCCCTTCTTCTGGCAGCTCTGTGCATGCACACACTGGGAACAGGCTCCAGCTGTTCTTCTTCCCCACTGATCTCCGACTCCGAAGGCAGCTGATAACTGTCGGATGGCCCTGGCCCCATCTCTGCCTCCGATGCAGAGCCCTCGTCAGAGCCTTCCCCAGACTCCAGGACTGGCCCATGTTCCTCCCCAACCTCCTCCCTGTCCGAATCTGCTGATAGCTCCACTGGCTGCTGGCGGGCCACAACACCGAGACTATTACGACCAATTTTGAATGCCATCTTTTACAACCGTAGCCTTGGGCCTTTGAGGTGCCTATTTGTCTTTTTCCATATTGTGATTACAATCCAGGTCTTGACATTTGCAATCCCTTGGCTGCTACTCTAGGTAAATAAACCTGGCGTACAAATTAAAGGAATCCTCCACTTACGACAACAACGAAGCCCCAAAATTTCTCTTGCAGAGAGATGTTTGTTGAATTTTGCACCATTTTACGACCTTTCTTGGCACCATTTATTAAGTGAATCGCTGAAGTCGTGAAGTTAGTAAGGTCGCAAAAGGGAGTTGTGTGACTGGGACACGGCCACTGTCATAAAGATGAGTCAGTTATCAAGTGCCTTCATCACATGACTATGGGGATGCTGCATAAGTATGGAAAAATTGTTACTTTTTTCCACCTTTGCCGTTGTAACTTTGAAACAGTCACTAGATGAATTGTCGTAAGTCAGGGACTGCCTGTTTTGGATCTTTGGTGTGAGCTTGCTTAGCCTTTTTCAAAACTACTTCCATCTTAAGGTGGAGTATAAATTGAATTATCCTGTCATGCCCCTGTTGGACACTGACTCTGAGGGAGAGGAGGAACAGCCGACAGGGAGTGGAAGTGTGGCTCCGGAGGTTGTGGAGGAGGCTGGGGAAGGGCAGAGGCCGGCTGGGCAGTCAGGAAGACCCAGGCCCATTCCCTATCCATCCTAGGGCGCACAGGGAAGAGAGGATAAGGGAGAGACATGAATGGCGTGGTCTACGGGGGAGGAAAGGGCCTTGATCCTCTTCATGGGCTGCCACTGTGGGAACTGGTTAAAAGGACAGACATGCGTACGGGCCAGTGCTGGAAACAAAGCGTGGACATATCTCTAGTCTGTCGTTCCTCTCTGAGTTTGGAGTCCTTCCCAGTGTGTATTCCGATATCTGTGGACATCTTCAAGCCCTTATCTCGCCTGGTTCCCTTAATTGTTTCAGTGTGGTTTGTGTTGTTTGTACTCTTTATAATTTATAAGCATTTTTAGTTTAGATGGCATTTCCTCCTTTCCATAATTGTTTGTGGGGGAGTTTTTTGTCTCCAGCCAAGGATATTTGGAGCTTTGAAGGAATTAAAGGGACTTCATTTGTTTTGGGGACTTTATTCTGTATCCCACCCTGGGTCACCACATATCCCCTTTGCAGCATGTTGACTTCCAATCCATTTGGATGCAGTTTGCATACATTTGAAGAATCCACCGCAACAAAATTCTGGAGCTTGGAGTTTTATTTTCTCAGCAGAGGGGAAATACAAGACCATGTTTTTTTCAAAACTTGGCCATATCTTAAAAGTGACCAAGTGGGTTTCTCTGCTTCTCAACTTAAAAATGGGTTGGACTTCCCAACTCCCAGAATTCCTCGTAGTGGCTGGGGAAATCTGGGACTTTGAAGTCCACAAAATCTTCAAAAGTTGCCAAGGTTGAAGAAACAAATGATTTAAACAATGACATTGTTCACGCAGATTTCTTGCTGTTTTCTCCACTCTTTCATTCCCACAATCTTTGGAAGAACGGGGTGAAAAATATAGAGAGTAACATTTTGCCCCAAAGCCCTACAGAAATTGGGAGGCTGTGTCCTCAGCAGTTTCTTCAACTTTAATCTCAAATGCCAGAAACTAAATCCATAAAATTCCCCATTTACAGTGAAGAAAGCATTTGCAAAGAATCCTCCTACACCTCAGAAAAGCTCCCATCCTTTTTTCAATCCACAAGACGCTTGAAAAATGCAAGGCAACCACAGGAGAAAGCAATAATGTGCCCCTTTACTTTAGCTAGTCATAACGAGCAGTGGCTTAGGAGATTTTAACCGTTGCAATGGCATTCAAAATATACACATTGCCCATTTCTGGCAAGAATAACATTGCGAAACAGCCCAAATTATCTACCCCACCCTTCAAATGAGTGTTGTAGCAGAAATAAATATCCATTTAAGGTATATTAGGGGGAGAAAAAGAGAGAAAGGAAAGAGGAAAAGAAGAGGGAGGGAGGGAGGGAGAGATAAAAGAAAAAAGGGGAAAGAGAAAGGAAAGGGAGGAAGAGAAAAAGGGAGGGGAGAGGGAAAGAAAAAAGGGAGAAAGGAAAGAAGGAAAAGAAGGGAGAGAAAAAAGGGAGAAAGGAAGGAAAAAGAGAGAAAAAGGAAAGAAGGAAGGAAAAGAGGAAGAGAGAAAGGAAAGAAGGAAAAGAAAGGGAGAGAGAGGAAGGAAGGAAAGAAAAGAAAGAGATAAGAAAAAGGAAATATGAATGGAACAAAACATAGGTTGTCTGTCCAGAAACTTTCAGAGAAGTACAATTGTTTACAAGACAGTTACTCCACTCATACTCTCCTGCACCCTATTCCCAGGGAAGAAGGGATAGATTTGAAGTGTGTAGAAACACCTAATTGTAAAGTCCTTGCTTCTCTGTTACAAATCACTGTCCAGAGGCCAAGATCTAAACGCATCCAAGGAAGAGTTTCTATTCCAGCCACAGAGCCTGGAGGGTGCAATCGGGAAAAGCCCAGATGGCGATAACAAGGTTATTGAAGCCCCATTCCCACGTAATAATAATAGTAGTAGTAAGCATTTGGCTCACAACACACCTGACATAACAATAGTTGTAAAGAAAAAGGTTTGGTTCATTGACATTGCAATACCTGGGGATGCACGAATTGAAGACACGCAGCAAGAAAAAAATCACAAAGTATCGGGACTTACAAATTGAAATTGAGCGACTTTGGAAAAAGAAATCGTGTGTTATCCCCATTGTAATTGGAGCCCTTGGAGCAACACCTAAAGAGCTACCTGGCTAAATCCTGAATTTATCAGACTTGGATACCCTGATTCTACAAAAAGCCACCCTACTTGGAACAGCTTATATCCTCCGACACTACCTGAACATTTCCTAGGTCCTTGGTTAGGACTCGAGCTGTTGAGCTACCAACCAGCCCCAAAGGCTGTGAATCTCACTAAAGATTAAGTAATAATAATATTTTTTTTAAAAAAAAGGTGGAAGCAAAATCACACTGGGGCAGCTCCCCTCGGGGGTCCTTTTTAAAAAAAACACATCCTCCAAAGACCCCCTGCCAGAAGGTTAAATTCTTCTCCCTGAGCAACTGGTTTTGAGCTTCTCAACTTTGAACTGTTGCATCATTTCAGACCCTGTAAATACACAAAAGTGGGGGGGCGGGGGGAAGACGAGGAAAAAAAGGCTTTTGACAGCATAGAGAGGAATGTTAACACGCCCATTTTGGACCGTGAGGAAAACGCACAAGCCCTGGATTGCAAAAAGATGCTTGGTTTTAGCCAAGGTTCCGCAGTTTGCCCTAGTGATTCTGCTCCCCAAAACACACGGCCGGGGTCCCCCACCACCAACAATGCGCCGGTGTGGTTCTGTCCATCAGTTTTGCTCTTTCATGCTACATAGAGGTTCCACCAGCTTGTTGTGCACGTGCATTAAACCTTGGAGAGAGAAAAAAAAACATAAATCTGTGTTAGTCATATTGCTAGTTAACGTTAATCTGTTTGTCGTACAGGTAGTTCCCGACTTAACGAACGGCAATTGAGCCCAAAACGTATCTCGCTAAGCGAGGCATTTGTTAAGCGAGCCATGCTTCATTTTACACCTTTCCCTGCAGTTTTTAAGTGAGTGAATCTAGCTGTGATGACCCAGAGTGTAACACAAATATAACAAAATCCAAAATGTAAATAAATGTCCTTTAATGCCTCCAACTTGGCCCCACTGTTCAATAATTCTCTGCTGGAGATAAAACATATTCAAAACTAGTCTTCAAAAGAAAGCAATACAGTCCGAACTTAATGAGCAGACAGAGGTGAGATAAAAAACCAAAACAAACTACAATGAAGGAATTTCCACAATGGACCAGGATAAGTAATTACCAACTTCAAGGAGATAACAAGGCACAGTCTGTTAAAAGGACGCCAACCAAGATAACTTCAGCCCAAAATAAAACATACTTTGCTTCTGGCAATGCTGTGTTGTAATCGTCTCTCTTATATACTATTCTCCGCAGCTACAACCAATCAGTGGGATCATGGCCGCTTCCTCTCTCGTAAGCCGAGTTGTTTCCTTCTCCGTTCCTCCCTGAGTGCCCTGGGATGGAGAGGAGATGGGCCTGGTTCTTCCTCTGACTACCCAGCTGGCCTCTGCCCCTCCCCAGCCTCCTCCACAACCTCTGGAGCCACACTTCCACTCCCTGTCGGCTGTTCCTCCTCTCCCTCAGTCCGATTCTAACAAGGTCATGACACTGGCTTCCTCATTGCCTTCGCTTGTCAAAAGGTCACACAAGGCCGCAACCGTCATAAACACGAGGCAGTTGTCAAGCATATGTAAGTCATGTGACCACGGAGATGCAGTAAGTGTGAAAAATGGTGCATCACTTTTTTCAGTGCCATTGTACCTTCAAGCAGTCACTAAACAAACTGTTCTAAGTTGGGAACTACTACACGTAATTGCAATGTCAATTTTCAACTCCCATAACATCTGGAACAGCTGTTCCAACCTTGGTAAAGGGTTTCATTCATTCCAGGTTGCTTCTCTCCTTGGTGAGTTTTCATTCCTTGTTTCTTGGCCTGCCTTTAGTCCATGATGGCGAACCTATGGCACGGGTGCCACAGGTGGCACGCAGAGGCATTTGTGCCAGCACATGAGCTGCAGGCAAACTTACCTCATTGGGCATGTGCGCACTTCACAACTGATTTTTGGCTGGTTTGAGGCCTTTTTTGTCCTCCCAAATGTTTGTGGAAGGCTTCTGCAGGCTTCAGCAAGCTTTGTAGGCCGAAAACTAGCCCCGTTTCATCACTTCCTGTTTTTTTCGAAAATACCAGAAGTGATGAAACAAGGCTAATTTTTGGCCTGCAAAGTCTGCAGAAGCCTTCCTCAAACCTCTTGGAGGCCAAAAAAGGCCTCAAAGCTGCCGAAAATCAGCTGTGAGGCATAGTGCAGGTAAGAGGGTGGCAGGGGTGGGTGGGTGGGTGAGGATTACTCATTACGGTGGGTGGGGATTTCGTAGGGGGTATGGGGGGCACGCATTGCCTTCTTGGGTGCTGGCACGCGAGTGCGAGCGTGCAAGCGCGCACACAATTTTTGGCATAGGGAGCCCAAAAATGTTAGCCACCACTGCTTTAGGTGCTTTGGAAAATAAGTGGACCCCCTCCTCTTTGGGGCAGCCCCTCAAATACTGGAAGACCCTGAGATACCGCCAGCCCTAGTCCTTCTTTTCTCCAGATCATCCATGCGCAGTTCCTCCAATAGGATGGCACTCACCTTTAAAATACTTCACCGTTTTAACGCGGAGTTCTAAAGTGGCGTCTTCATCACACACGAAGATGGTATGGGGATGTTGTTGGAAGGCAGAAACAGTCCACATGTGGTTGACCCCTTCTTCGATTGCCTTGTACAAGGCGAAGGCCTTGTGTGCCCCCGTGATAAGAATCATGACCTGGAAGACCAAGCATGAATGGAAGCAGAGAGTTCAGCGAGCAACTATGAAAGCAGCATCCCTCCATCGCCATTAGAAGATGTACTAAGTCAGGGGTGTCCAACCTTGGCCGCTTGAAAGGCTTGTGGATTTCAACTCCCAGAAATCCTGGAATTGAAGTCCACAAGTCATAAAGGGGCCACATGGTTCCCCACCTCTGTCTTACATCCTGTCATGCCCCTGTTGGAATCTGATTCCGAGGGGGGAGGTTGAACAGCTGACAGGGAGTGGGAGTGTGGCCCTGGTGGCTGTGAAGGAAACTGGGGAAGGGCACAGGTCGGAGGGGCATCCAGAGGAAGACCCAGACCCACCCCTCTTCATCCTAGGGCACGCAGGGAGGAATGGAGAAGGGAGCAACATGGGTTACGGGGGAGAAAAAGGCCCTGATTCCCTTCATTAGCTGCAGCTGGGAAAACAGGATATAAAGGGTGTTTGCACACAGCACCTTGCTGGAAGCAAAGCATGCATTATCTTTGTCACGTCTTTTGAGTTCGGCAACTCCTTATCCTGCCCTGTCTCGTTAATTGCTGCAGTGTGGTTTGTGTTGGGTTTTATTTATAATTGATATGTACTCTGGGTTCGGACTGAATTTCTTCCCTTTAAAAACTGTTCTTGGGCAAAGTTGGAGAAATTAAAGGGACCATTACCTGCTTTGCTGACTTAGTCGCTTTTGTGCCACACCCCGGGTCATCACATATCCTGAGTCTTAAGATGTTAAAATGGCCGGCTCAGGAATTCTGGGAGTTGAAGTCCACATGTCACAAAGAGGCCATATGGTTCCCCACGTCTGACATAGACATTTAGTAATGGACATTTGTAATACACTAGAGTGCTGCGGTGGCCTAGAGGTGGAGCTCACGTCTCACAATCAGGAGGCTGTGAGTTCGATCCTAGGTAGAAGCAGATATTTCTCTCTCTGGGCACAATGAGGATATATCTGCTGAACAAAACTCCGTACTGGCAACAGGAAAGGCGTCCAGCCATTAAAAACACTCTGCTAGTTCCATTCAGTTGCCTAGACTCCACCCCACAAGGGATTATGGGGTCATTAAAAGATGATGATTTGTAATACGCTAATACTAAAGGACATGACTTATATAGCACTCCAGTTTTCAGACACGTTTCAAAAAAAATGCAAGTATAAAGACTGATGTTCTTACTTCTCTGGCATCCATGACTGTTCCCACGCCAACTGTTAAAGCCATAGTTGGGACCTTTGATAAATCCCCATCAAAGTATTTTGCATTTGCCAGAATGGTATCCATGGCGAGTGTTTTCAATCTTGTTCTTGACACCAAACTGGATCCCGGCTCGTTGAAAGCGATGTGACCATCTGGGCCAATGCCTGGGAAAGACGACAAACAGCAAACCCTGATGCAGCCCCCAATGAAATTGAGTTTGATACCCCTGCTCTAAGGAATGATACTGTCATGCCCCTGTTAGAATCTGAATCCAAAGAGGAAGATGAACAGCCAACAGGGGCTCCGTTGGCTGTGGAGGAAACTGGGGAAGGGCAAAGTCCGGCTGGGCAGAGCAGGGCAGAGGTAGAATAAGGGAGAGGGAATTCAGAGGAAGACCCTGGTCCACCCCCCTCTTCATTCTAGGGCACACAGGGAGGAAAGGAAAAGAGAGCAACATGGGTTTACGGGGGAGGAAAGGGCCCTGATTCCCTTCATTAGGCACACCTGGGAAGAGTTCAAAACAGATGCATGCTGAGTGCAGCAGCTGCTGGGAGCAAATGTGAGTTTATCTTGTGTTGACTTTGCTTATCTGTGTTCCTGGCGTCTTCCCAACTGTGTTGAGTTATTGCCGTGCCTTCACATCTGGAATTCTTGCTCCTGCCCTACCAAACTGATTACTTCAGTTTGGCTTGTTTGGACTTATAGTTACAGTTTTTGTTGACCACGTTTTGGACTTGATTCTCTGCAGCCAAAGGCTATTCCTGGGAGAGTTTTTCTCTAGTCCAGAAGGTAACCAGGACATTGGGGTGAAGTTGGAGCTAATAAAGGGACTCTTGCTGATTATCTGACTGTGTTGCTTTTGTGCCAGGCCCCTTTGGGTCATCACAGATACTTAAATAGTATCCTGTACTAATTAGATTACTCACTGATAAGTTTCCGTTTTCACTTAAGCCACCCCCCCAAAAAACCCTCACCTCCAACAAACAACTCTATCCCCCCAGATTCTTCTATTTTCTTTTCAAAGGCATCACACTCGGCTTTTAAATCCAGCGCATTCCCGTCGAGAATATGAGCGTTGTTTGGATCTATATCAATATGCTTAAAAAAATTGTTCCACATGTAAGAATGATAGCTTTCTGGATGATTTCTCGGAAGCCCTGGAACCAAAGCAGAGCTGTTTTAATTCGTGGACTTCATAATAGTTATAAACACGTTGGTATCATTAACAGAATTCTAAACAAGCTAATATAAAGAGAACTCTAGGTTAAAATGACTCTGCTACACCACTATTACTGTTATTAGTATACATATTAATATCTCTGTTTTCTCCCTATTTCTGTAAGTGATGTGCCCTGACAATACACTGTATTCAAAATGTTTATGAGTAAAAATAAAACATATACAACATAATAATCATACAAAGGAAATTTAAAGGGACATGGAACTGATTGAGGCAGACCACTCTGTCCCAGTGGGCATTTTTTTACTACCGGTTCTGTGGGCATGCCTTGGTGGGTGTGGTGTGGCTTGGTGGCCAAGGTGTGGTATGGTGAGCGTGGCTTGGTGGGTGTGGCAGGGGAAGGTTACTGCAAAATCCCCATTCCCTCCCCAGCCCACTAACCTGTTTTCCAGATCCATTCTCCTGTGCAGGGCAACCAAAGGAGACCCAGCCGATCAGCTGGGACTCGGGAGGCAGAGAATAGATGGGGGCGGGGCCAGTCAGAGGTGGGATTGGCCAGTTCTCCGAACTGCTCAAAATTTCCGCTACCGATTCTCCAGAACTGGTCCAAACTGGCTGAATCCCACCTCTGCTCTGTCCAACGTTGAATTTTTGGGAGGATTTGGGTTTGGCTAGTCTAAGAAAAAGAAGGACTGAGGGGGACATGATAGCAGGATTCCAGTATTTGAGGGGCTGCCACAGAGAGGAGGGGGTCAAATTATTTTCCAAAGCACCAGAAAGCAAGGCAGGAAACAACAGATGGAAGCTAACCAAGGAGAGAAGCAAACTGGAATTAAGGAGAAACTTCCTAAGAGTGAGGACAATCAACCAGTGGGACAGAAGTTGCCTTCAGAAATTGTAGATGCCACATCACTGGAGATTTTTAAGAGTCTGGCCAGTCACTTGTCTGAAATGGTAGAGCCATGATGGCGAACTTATGGTACCTGTGGCACACAGAGCCATTTTTACGGGGACATGAGCCCCAGCCAAACTTACCTGCACTGCAGATGTGTGCGCCTCCCAGCTGATTTTCAGCTTGTTTGGGGCCGTTTTCACTCTCCTGGAGGCTGAAGGAAAGCCTCTGCAGCCTCAGGGGGCTGAAAAATGGGCCTTCCGGAAATACCGGAAGTGCCGAAACGGGCCCGTTTTTCAGCCTTCCGAGGCTGCAGAGGCTTCCTTTGAGCCTCCGGGTGGGCGAAAACGGCCTCTCCTGGACTCCAGAGGCCCTCTGGAGGCTGAAAACGGGCACTTTCAGAAGGCCCGTTTTTTGGCCTCCCGAGGCCGCAGTTTCTTCCCTTGAGCCTCCAGGAGGGCGAAAACTGCCTCAAATGGGCCAAAAATCAGCTGGGGGGTGCATTGCATTGTGGATGCTGGCACACGCACGTGTGCTTTCGGCATGCCATAACAAACAGGTTCGCCATCACTGTGGTAGAGGGTCCCCTGCTTGGGCAGGGGGCTGGACTAGAAGACCTCCAAGATCCCCTGCAGCTCTATTCTGATTCTGATTTGTAAATATGGGCCCCTGTCACAAATAAAGGCATGCTTAAAAACAACAACAACTTACCTACGTATTCATCCATGTTGAATGTCTTCACATATTTAAAAGAGAGGTCTCCCCTTTTGTGATAGTCTATCAGTTTCTGGTAGCATCCCAAAGGCGTGCTTCCTGCATCGAGCGAATGGTTTTTCATTATCTTATGCACTTAGACCGGGATCGGCCACCCGTGGCTCTGGAGCTGCATGTGGCTCCCTATCGGCTGATCCTACCACTGGCTAGCCCCTCCCAACCCGTCCCAGTCACTCCTCGCCTGGCCCGTTTTCTGTAGGGAAACGGGTCCAAATGGCTCTTTGGGTGTTTAAGGTTGCCAACCCCCTGCCCTAAGAAAAGTATCTTGTAATTCGAATTGCAAAAGATGGATTCGATCACAAGTCCAGCTATTATGTCAGGGCTCCAGCAGTTACCCCCATTTAAATCATGAGTCTCTAGCTGGATTTTCAAAGCTTAAAGATTTATTAGGAGTTAACATGCCGGCACTGCCTGGATGTAGCTGACTCTGAGGCACATCATTCATTGTCACCTTTGACCCTGGTTTTCCCTCCACCCCCTGGGTGTATTGTAATTCATATTCTCCAACGGGACACGTCCATAGCCCAGAGTTATCAATCAGGCTCTCCAGTTAGAATTTTGCCCGGCAGAAACTTCAGTCACCTTGTTACTATCTTTGAAAACATTTGTGGAATGCACTTTCGGTTTGCAAGCTTCTGCACTGCTCCCCCCTCCCTTTCTGTTCCGGCTGGACTCCCTCGCCGACGGACCAAAATCCGCGATCATCCACGGTTTCCGTTCATGCTCTACTGTCAGAGGGCCCCGATCAACCTGATTTGGGGCCGAAGCCACCCCGTAGAGGTGGCAAAGAAGGGGGAGACCGCCAGCTGGGTCTCAGTGAGCCACATCTTCCCCTCCCTGGCTTGGCAATACTCCCTTTCCCGAAGACAGCTGTAGCGGTGATCAATATGGCCACCCTGAAGAGATGAGCTGACTGGGATAAGATCGTGCAGGAGCAGAGAAGAAGAGGACAGCATAGAAACCCGGAGAACTGGCCACAATTTCTAAGGAATAAGTAACTTTCTAATCACTTCTCAAGCCTTGCTTGTTTGATTACTGGTAATGCTCGACTTACAACAGTTTGTTTAATGACCGTCCAAAGTTACGACGGCACTGAAAAAAAGTGACTGGTGATGACCATATTTCACAGTTAATGACTTTCGCAGCATCCCCACAGTCACATGATCAAAATTCAGATGCTTGGCAACTGACTTGTGTTTATGACGGTCACAGTGTCCTGGGGGGTCACATGTTGTTGTTTTTGCGAACTTCTGGTGAGCAAAGTCAAGGGGGGGAAGCCACTTAACGACCAGGTTACCAACTTATCAACTTGCCGCGATTCGCTTAACCACCGTGGCCAGGAAGCTGATAACATGGGTCAAAATTCATTTAGCAGATGTCTCGCTTAGCTACAGAAATGTTGGGCTCCCTTCTGGTCGTAAGTCAAGGACTACCTGTAGCAGGGGAGAGCAGAAACAACGTAATATGGCCTTTGGGTGTTTTTCCCCACTTCTAACTGTTGAGGAAGTGGGAGACATCCAAGGATCGCCAACCTTTTGGACCTCAGGACCACCAAACTCATAATTTTAAATCCTGCAGACCAGAGACCCTGGGAAAATCCCAAAAAAAGTCTGCAGGAAAATTCCCTACCCTGTTTTCCTATTGATCGATCATTCTTTATTTGGGATCACAGGATACCGTTTCCAGCTCCATTCTCAGGGGGAGAGAGAGAGAGAGAGAGAGAGAGAGACTTTTGGCTTCATGCAAGGAAAACAGCAGACGCAGCAGAAGTCTTTCTTTCTCTGCACCAAACTCCACCAGAAATGAGTCTTTGTGAGACTTGTCGCACCGGCACAGCCTCTTGGAGCAGGAGGCCTTGCAGGGTCCCAAAGACTTATTTCTGGTGGAGTTTGGGGGAGAGAAAGAAAGACTTTTGCTGCTTTCCTTGCGTGCAGACAAAGGCAGAAGAAGAAAGAAACAGAAAGAAACAGCCCGGTGGCCTGTGGAGTGAGTGGGGCAAGTTCCCCTTCCTCCCTTTCCCCCCTCCCCTCACTATCTTGTGTTGTCTGCAATGCAAGTGATGCAAACCTTGTGTTCCCACGCATCCTGGATTAATTGCTTTGGGGGGGGGGTGCTTTGGGGGTGACATTTCTCTGCAGACCAAGAAAATTTTCTCATGGACCACCAGTGGTCCCCAGCCCACTGGTTGGCCACCACTGAGCTAGCAGATTCCAAGAACTGAACGTAGGACAAGACAAGAGAAGGGAAATATGGAGAAAACAAAGTCACAACTCTGGAAATGCACAATTTGTTTCCTAAATTTACTCCAGGTTTTACTCAAGCACCTGATGAGTGAAATCTAGCCAACCCGCTAAACCATTAATTCCTCCTTATCGACAAGAGCAAAAATAGAGAACAGAGAGGGACAGACAGACAGAGGGAGAGAAGAAAATTAATTACCTGTTGGTAAGCCAAGGGTGAAATATCGGCTTTGGTTAGGTTTGAACTGAATGATGCGGTTACAGATGTATTTTGCAGCCCATTCGCTCGCCAAATCGTAGTTTTCTAGGATGACAAGCCTCATCCTGTTGAGATTACAGTTGCCCCTGAAGCAACACACAACTGAAGCTGTGGGAGAACCCAAGGTGATGGTTATTCAAGCAAGCATCTTTTAGCATGGACAACGCTCCTGTGATGACCCGGGGCGTGGCACGAAGGCAACACAGCCAGAGAACAGGTATGAGTCCCTTTATTGGCCCCAACTTTGCCTCCAACGTCCCAGTTACTCTCCGGCCTGGAGAAAAGCTCTCCCATTATCCTGCAGCAGCCTCTGGCTGCAGATACTCCAGTCCAAACAGTGTAAATAGACTAACTGCAATCAATCACTCCATCAGGGCAAGATAATGAATCCAAAAAGTGAAGAATCATGGCAATAATTCCAGCAAGGCAAGATAAACACACAGGAGCATGGCACTAATTCAAACAGTCAGGTGGAAGGCCAGGTTTGCAGGCCGCAACTCTCAACTCTAGATGAATTCAGTATTTGTTCCCGACAAATGCCCCTCCCAACTGCTTCTCCTTTAAACTCCATCCCCAGGTATGGCTAATGAAGGGAATCAGGGCCCTTTCCTCCCCCGTAAGCCACGCAACCCACGTTGCTCCCTTCTCTGTTCCTCCCTGCGTGCCCTAGAATGAAGAGGGGGTGGGCCTGGGTCTTCCTCTGAACTCCCTCTCCCTTGCTCTACCTCTCCCCTGTTCTGCCCAGCCAGCCTTTGCCCTTCCCCAGTTTCTTCCACAGCCAACAGAGCCACACTCCTACTCCCTGTCAGCTGTTCAGCTTCCTCCTCCAAGTCAGATTCCAACAGGGGCATGACAAATTGAGGAGAACCAGGTATTTTTCCCAAATTATGAAACTATGAATATTATTTTTTGTTCTTTTGCCAGAAAAAAACAGAAGCTTCACATGGTGTGAATTTCCTTCCTCTTTTTAAAGCTCAGCAATAAATAGCACATTTTAAAAAGGCTGCAGAAATGTACCAGAAAGAATATTGCCTTCAAACTAGGTTCTTGTCGAAAAATACAAATATCTTGATAAAACTACATCAACCTCTGTCAAAAAAATAATGGCACCCACTGCAGGAAAAGATCATGAACAAGCAACCCCATGGAACAATAGCAATAGAAATCTTTATCTGTTCTGATTATAATTATGGCAGCCAGATTGATCAGAATCGACTGAAAAGCAACTATCTCCACAAGCCGATATTTTTCTCCTGGAAGGATTTCCGAAATTTACATTTTTAAAATGGCAAATAAATTAGGCAATGTTATGGATTCAGGTAATGAAAATCTGGAGGCTTTGGAGCAAGACAGGCAGACAGCAAAGTCCTAATGCACAACTATTGTTAATTAATCTATATATAAAAAGCGAAATACCCCCCCACGCATCATCGCAAAAATTCCAGAACCGTAAAGCCTACAAACTTGAAATTTGGCACCTATATTCCTCTTGGCTTCTAAGGGCTCATTAAGAAAGGATTTTTCCAAATGACCATCAGAGCCTTAGTATTTCCTATATTTTTATTATTAACATGCTCTGATGCTAAGGAGTTCTACTCCCCCTCCCCACCTGAAAAGAAATCTCTTCCAAATGCAAAACCCAAGCAGAGGAGAGGAGTTTCAGTTTCAGTCTTAGTTTCACATCACCAAGCAGCTTTAGTACAGAACAGTTGAGCTAAGCCACACCCAGGCTCCTTGCTGTCTCCTCCTTGTTCACACAGCAAATACTCTTTCAGTTTCCACCAATCCTCCAGTCTCTCACACACTGACAGGACGCTAGCCAGAGGAATACCAATGGATGCCGGTAGGCAGAGGCAGAATTTTTCCCCCCTTATTTTCCTCCCCAAAAACTAAGCCCGAGCACATAGTTTCGTAGTGAAGCACGGGTATCGAGCTAATTTTATTATAAGGCATGATTTTGTGGTTTATCTTTCCCTAGACTTTCAGATCTCTCTTCTGAATCTAAGAGAACCCAGAGTGAGTAGATTTCAATCAGAGCACCTTCTAAAGGCCCTTATAAATTTGAATCCCAAAATCTTCTGGTTTTTTATTACCACCCATTACTACCATATAAAAAATAAAGATCTACAGATGTCAAGAGAGCTGGATTTCATCCAGTTTCCAAAGTGACAATCCTGGATACCTCATCCCAATTCCTGTTTATTAAGAAAGAAAGGAGAGGGAAAAAAGCAAAACTATAAACTCATTTGGGATCAGGGGATTCCAATCCATCGGTCATTTCTTCTTCCTGATACACCTGGCCCCTCTCTGGGGATAATGGGAGTTGTAGGACAACACTTTAGGGCTGTCCTTGGAGATTTTCAGCCCTCCAGGTCATGGTTGTTCCCACCCACCCCAAGAGGCAACTGGGCATTTTTGGTTTTTCTTTGAAGAGGTTTCGCTTCTCATCCTGCAGAAGCTTCCTTGGCTTCTTGACAACCCTCTCGAGAGGTACCCCTTTTTAGAAAGCTGCTCTTGCAAGTTCACGTTCAGCCCAGGCGCTGCTCACTTTCAGAAGGGGAAGAGGGCAATGCGATGTGCAATGCAAAGGAAACCCACCCACCTACCCCATCCCACCTACCTACCCACCTACTCTTCCACCAACCCACCTACTCCACCCCCCACCTACCTACCTATCCCTCCACCCACCCATCTACTCCACCCTCACCCACCTAACTACCCCTCCAACCACCCATCTACTCCACTCCACCTACCTACCCCTCCGACCACCCACCTACTCCACCACCACCTACCTACTTACCCACCCACCTACTCCACCACCACCTACCTACCTATCCCACCACCCACCCACCTACTCCACCCCACCTACCTATCCCTCTACCCACCCACCTACTCCATCCCACCTACCTACCTATCCCTCCACCCACCCACCAACTCCACCCCCACCTACCCCTCCAACCAACCACCTACTCCACCCCATCTACCTACCTATCCCTCCACCCACCCACCTACTCCACCCCCACCTACCTACCTATCCCTCCACCCACCCACCAACTCCACCCCATTTACCTACCTACCCCTCCAACCAACCACTTAGTCCACTCCCACCTACTTACTTACCCACCCACCCACTTACTCCACCCCACCTACCAACTATCCCTCCAACTATCCATCTACTCTACCCTCCACCCACCTAACTACCCACCCACCAATTCCACCCCTCCACCTACCCAGCCCCGGCCAGGATTTCCAAGCTTCTTCACCCGTTCATGCTTGCATTAAGGATGCTTGTAAAAGCCCAGTCACGCTCGCCCTCCCTCTCCGCAAAAAAAAAATATTCAACCCACCGTCCTGCCGCCTTTGGGAGCTCACCTGGCGGTAAGGAGGCGCCCAGGATCCTGCGAGGGAGGGCGGGGCCAAGGCTTCCGGGACGAGCCCCGCCCACTCCAGCTCCCGCGGCTGGCATCACGCCGCCCAAGAGAGAGAGGAGAGCCGAAGAAAGCATCGCGCGTGCGCAGGACGGGCCAGTGGAAGGCAACGGCGCGCTGGGTGGGAGAGTTTGCCTAGGCTTTTAGGAGGTGGTGGAAGGAGGAAGGAGGGAATGAGAAAGAAGAAAAAGATAGGAAGGAGGAAAAATGAAGGCAAAATGGAAGGAAGAAAAATAGAAAAAGGAGGGAAGGAAAAGATAGGAAGAGAAAGAAGGAAAAATGGAAGGAGGAAAAAGGAGGGAAGGGAACTAGGAAGAGAAAGAAGGAAAAAGAGAAAGAGAAAAAATGAAAGAAAAAATAGATAAAGGAAGAAAAAGTTAGGGAGAGAGAAAGGAAAGAAAGGAGGAAAAATGGAAGGAAAGGAAAGATAGGAAGAGAAAGGAAAAGGTAGGTAGGAAGGAAAAAATAGGAAGGAGGAAAAATGGAAGGGAGGAACGACAAAAAGATAGGAAGGAGGAAAAATGGAAGGGAGGGAGGAAGAAAAAGATAGGAAGAGAAGGTTTAAGAAAAATAGACAAAGGAAAAGTTAGGGAGGGAGCAAGGAAGGAAGGAGAAAATAAGACAAAGGAAAGAGAAGAGGAAGAGAAGGATGGATAGGTAGATAGATTAGATAGATAGATAGATAGATAGATAGATAGATAGATAGA